CAATGGAGGCGGTTTCGGTGTGAAAGTGGGAGGATGGTTGGATCGAGGTCGGAGAAGAGCTGCGACAGGAGCAGAATGAAGTGGAAACCGCTGACCGAGACGAGCCTGCTGGCCGTCTTCAAGTCGTTCTGCCGATGGACCAGCATCCGAGGCCTGCAGCATGTGGTGCGAGCCGAGAATCCGGTCATTCGAATGCTGTGGGCCGTCTTTGTTGTCATCATGTTCAGTGCCAATGTGGCCTTGGTGGCTTTGCTGTTGTCGCGCTACTATCGGTTCAACACGATCGAGATCATCAAGACGCGTCGCGGTGTCGAGGTCGAGTTCCCCTCGGTCACGGTGTGCAATGTGGATCCGGTCAACTCGGATCGCATCTACTGCCTCAAGCATGCCAACAACAATTCGTGCGGTCTGGACGAGAAGTACGCGGACATTTTGGAGAAGTACAAAGAGGCGGACGACTTTCGACGTGAAATGAAGAATCGTTCCATCTGGAACCGCATGGAGGACAACAGTCTGGTTGCCGTCTTCTATCAGATGATCGGCATGGAGGCGGCCAATCAGATAAGCCACCAACAAAACGACTTTATCATTCGTGAATTCTGCGAGGTGACGACGCTGGAGCGCGGCGGCATTCTGAAACGACGCAACTGCGACGAAGCCTCGGTGGTGGTGTTCAATTTCGTCACCTACAAATACTTCAACTGCTACACTCTCACCATCTCCAACCGCAGCATCAGCACGCAGGCCATCCGACTCAGCATCATTCTGTACCTGGACGAGGAGGAGGACCTCAACTGCCAGCCTCATTGCACGCACGAGTTCACCGAGTGGGCCGGCGGCAAGGTGGTCATCCATCCGATCTACTCGTATCCCATGATCGAGGAGACGGGCATGAACCTGCTGCCGGGCGCCTCGAATCAGATTCTGATCAGCGAAATTCGCGAGGTCGAGAAGAAGCTGATCTCGTCGAACAACTGCGAGCCGAACATTCACAAGACCCTACCAATCGCCTTCTTCAACAACAGCGCGAAGGAGTTCCAAGCCAAAGACATCATGTACACCGACACGCTGTGCGTCAGTCTGCTCTCACAGGCCGAGACGATTCGCGAATGCCGCTGCATCGACTTTCTGTTGCCGGTGCCGGGCGATCTGCGCGATCACATCACCCGATTGCCGTTCTGCGGCAACCTGTCGAGTCCGCACATCGACGAGAAGCTGGGCTGCAACCAGCGCGTTCGACAGGAGCAGCAGGAGGAGTTCATCAAAAGTTGCCCCACGCGATGCATCAAGCGCGAGTTCAACTTCGAACTGACCCAACTGCGCTGGCCGCAGAAACCGCGAGTGCTCAAATATCTCCAACGCCTCGATAAGCGCATCTTTTCGCAGGGAAAATTCAAGGTCTACGAACAGATCATGGCGCTGGTGCGCAACAATCAGACGCAAGAGGCGATGCAGCATCTACAGCAGACGCACATTTTCGAGAACAACTTTCTCCAGGTCGACATCAACCGGCCCAGCTACGACACTTTGGTGGCCTACTCGGAGAATGAAGAGTACACTCTGACCACATTTTTGAGCCAAATCGGAGGCATTTGCAGCATCTTTCTCAGCTTCACCTGCGTCACGGTGCTTGAACTCGTCGAACTCGTCTTCCGCTTCTTCATCGTCCTGTGGGTCGGCAAAACGGCCGGTCGAGTGCGCATCTGCCCTCGTGGGCAGCCGAGGCTGCGGCGCCATTCGATCGTCGTGAAAACGGGCCATCCGTCAAGCGTGGCCGCGTCGGAG